GTATGTGTTTTTGTACTTTTGAATGTACAGGCAGTTGGTGGGTGAGACGGCCGGCGTAGATATTCCAGAGAACCTCAAGAACGCTTGGGTGGAGGCATGTAAATCACGTAGCAAGAATGCGAAGAACAACTTGTTCCAAGCATGGCTTCGTGCTGGAGGTGAATGGGGCAGGTTACTTGTGCAAATGTAGTCGGCAAAAAGACAATTACTTGAGCTCTTAGTTGTTGTTTTTTACTTCTAGTTAGGCTGACTGTGGCATCGACACGAACACACACAGATCGTGAGCTTGATCGACGGAAAGAAGGCTGCATGTGCGGTAATGAAAAACGTTAGTCTGCATGAATGCAAACATATTTGTTTAACGCACGTTGTTCAAGCATGTTTGTAGGATGGAGAACACGTGATCAGCTACTTGCTATGTATAATGGCAATGTGGAAGCTGTGGACAGCCTCTGCCGACGCAAAGCACAGTTGGGTTTGATTCGGGACCATCCTGATATGCCGGGTGATCCAACTATGCGTTTGTATCATGTGTCTTGCACTGTATGCATCTAGATATGTCTCATGTATGGTCATCAACTTTCCAACAATGGTTGTCTCTATTCCATGTCTCTCTACAGGTATTGCTCGACATTTCCAACACCGCGGAGAGAGAAGTGCAGGACACGCTCTCAACACGCATGGATATGGAAGTTGCTCCGGGAAGTGAGGTGCATATGCACATGATGTGTTCTTTTTTTGGAACATGCATGCAACATATCTCATGGATCGGATACTAGTAATTTTATTATTTGCCGAACAGGTTGCCGCGGCATTGGGTTCTTCGGATATCATGAACAACTTGATGGCTCTACCGGATGGAGGACTTCCTCTTGCTCCTGCTTCTGGCTCTGGTGGAGAGGGTTCTGGAACAACACCAGCACCACCTCCACTTCCCAAAGAGAAGACAAAGAAACCTGAGAAGCCTATAGGATGCAATTATGTATTTGCTGTGGTTGTAGCCTGTCAGTTCTATGTGGTTTGTTTCATTCTTTGTTTTCTTTTTGTGTGCATATACTGTGCACATGCATAGATGAGGCCAATGCCGGACAATTGCTTTGAAGCTTGTGAATGGCTGCTACCAAAGATTACAGTGGCATTGTCAGACTGCAAGATCTTGCCGATTCGCTTGCAACATCTGAAACATCAAGTTGTGTTACGAGACTCAAATGCATGTTATGGTGCACCATGCTTATGCATTTGTTTGGAAGTGTACACACATGTCTGGGTTCAAGCTTTGCGGCATGAGGACAGACCCTGGCAAACCATGCTGCTGAGTTGGAAGCCTCTTACCACCAGGTCCAATGGCTCCAAGCAGGACCCTGCATTACATGCTAGATGTGCAAGCAACAGATATATCACCTTTGATGTGCACTTCCTTTAAATATGACTCGGACTGGCTTTTACCATAAGCACTCTCGTATGAGAGCTGAAGGACAAAAAGTCCACTGATTTGACTTTGACTTCAGCTGCTGGTGCGACAGTGAAGCTGGCTGTGCAGCGTCTCAGTATGTACAAAGAGGACGCCTCGATTGCATTGCAGGTGTTGAAACCAGGGGCCAAGAAGAAAGCTAAGAAGGCCACTGCAGAAGATGTGCAGGAAGAGTGATGACCAACATGTGTCATCCCTTGCAATTAAAACAAGTCAGCTTTTGCTGGGGTATGTTTGCGCCAAATGTGTGTTAACTAGAACAATGCCCACTGTCACCTCTACATGCAGGTGTTTGTCTTTATATGCTTTCAGTGTGGCTGTTGCTTGTACGTTCAGGGCGCAAACAAATAATGGGGATGAAATCTTGATTGATACATGTTGAGATTACCAACATGTTCGCCAAAATGGCATGCTACATATGCAGGACCAAATGAAAAATAAACTTAACCGCGCGTTGCAATTTCATTAAGTATATGAACACATATAACTGAGAAATCTGCGTGTCAGGCAACAATCCCAGTTCTTGCAGTGATGGCACTGGGGCAAAGAGTGCAAAGGCTTGGAAGGTGCAATGAAGGGGAAGAAGAAAATAACATGCATGTGATACATGTGCTCAATCTGAGCTAGTTTCAGCATTCTTCAAAACAACACACCCCTGTCATTTGGTGTCCTGTCATGACGGCTCACATGCAAAATGTTTGCCGTGCCTGCTCGGTCTGCAGCTCGGTCTGCAGGATGATGCCAGCCATCCTCTGCGTCCCTCAGATTCAGTGAGCCGGTTGGCCAGTGATGCTACGGGCCACAGCGATGAGCTATGGAACATGTTGATCGATGACTTCACTGCTGGCAAGTGTTCGGCTATCAAAGATTCTCGAGCTTAAACAATATATATATTGATATCGCTACGTACCGCTATATATAGTTTTATTTTTAACAGTGTGCCCATGGGAGCCCTACATATGATGGTTGATTTTCAAGGACGCTTCACAAACATTGTTCTTGTACGTCCAAATCCAATTAGGTACAACAGCTTTCGGATGCAGCAATCAAGTTGTGCACAAGTCTTGGTGCATATTTACCACCCGACCACATGGTTCATCGACTTTCCAACATTGCAACGCATGGTACATTGCCAAACAATGCTGAACGTGATCTTCAAGTTCTTTTGGCCAAAACCATGGGTCTACATATGGAATTGGAAGATGTTGATGTTAGGATGTGGGATCACAAAGACAGCAAAATAGTGCAGACAAAGATTCCAGTTCTCATGCCCGATCAGCTGGCCACAGCCATATGGCGCATGTGGGAGGATGTGTTTGAAAGGTTTTTTCTGGGAGATATGTCGTGTTCTGATGTGGAACATTACTGGAATCATGTATATTCTACATCGGAATGGTTTCGAGTGCACCCATCAGTTGATCGCCCACGCTCTGGATTGATACCGCTGACATTGTATGGTGATGAAGTGGCTACATACAAAGGGACCGAAGTTGGGAGTATCATGGTCCTAGCTTGGACCAGTGACTTTCTCTTCAACCGTTCGCCGATCTTGAGGTATTTTTTGTTGACTGCATACAGTGAGTATGTTGCCAGCGACCACACTCACAGAGACATCATGACAGCCGTCTGTCGTCGGATTACATCTATGGTGGATGGAAGCAAGCAGTTTCCTTGGTCATCACGCTTCACGTTTATGTTTAGTTCGAACCAGGGTGATCTCAAGTACATGTTGTACAAGCACAATTTGTTTCCATACAACAACAATGACTTCTGCTCTTTGTGCAAGTGTTCCAAAACAACTCAAGAGATTGGCATGTCGTTGGGTGACTTTAGAGAATCTGCGGCTCATATTGGTACGCTGGTCAGCCATGAGGAGTACATCAGGGCAACAACTCCTGAAGAACGCCACCCGGTGTATTTAACCCGGTGTATTTAACATGTTTACTTTTGGGGGGATGGTGAAGTGTAATTACCTTAAGTATGTACATACTGGTTTGATTCTACATAACCATGACTGCAAGCAGGATCTATCACCTTCAGTATTCCTGGCTGTCACCTACACAGGTTCATGCACGATGTTCTGCATGGCCAGCTTCTAGGGACAGGCCGCCTCTTGAATGGAACCTTGGTAGTTGATCGACATAGTCTTTTGGGTGTGCAGTACATCTTTTCGTGTGGATTAGACCCCAACCAAAAGACTAAAACACCTCCGCGGTGAATGAATCGAGGATCCATTCTGTGCTACTTATGTGAGATTGGAATGTTTGGTCAATGGGAACGAGGACGATATCCGTTCGTGCTGCAAAATCGATTGAATGCAGCGTTCCGAGCGTTTGGACACTGGAAGTCTACAAACAAAGTTTCTACAACACAGGCTCGCTTTACATGTTCCAGACTTGGACGTCATTCTCGTCAAGATTTTCCAAGCCTTCAATCGAAGGGTGTGGCAGGCAAGCGTATTTCGTTTTGGCTGGCAGAGATGGCTCAGCAGAATGCGCAACAAGCAGAAGCATCTGAATTCGATCAGCTTGTGGCAACGACTGCCATGTCGTATCGGCGTTTTCTTGAACTGTGTGACGCGTCACCATTGGTCTTGACACAAGACCAAGCAAACGCTATCTTCAGAGCCGGGCATATACATTTACTTTCCTACGCGCAGTTGCGAAAGAAATCGATGTCCATCACTGGCAACACACCTGGTCGATGTGTATTTCAGCTGGCTCCCAAGAGCCATTACTTTTTGCACGTGCTACTGAATGTTCGACAGACGAGAGTCAATTGCCGATACTACACCCTTCTAACAGCTGAAGGATTCGTCGGAGTCATCGCAAGGATTGCTAGAGCGTGTCATCGATCAACCGTATCCAAACGGGTACTACAACGTTACAAGGTGAAGCTTCGCATGGAGCTCCGGTGCCATAGAGGAAAAGGTTTCAGTGACACCATGGTTGGGGTCTCGTGGCGAGGGGTCGATGTGTTTGGGGCCTCGGGTTTTGAAAGTTGAAGGTCTTTTGAGGTCCTGACGCCCCCAAGTGTGTTTGGATCCTTTGGGTATTTGTATTCCTTTCAGTCCATCATGCATACTTCCTTCACGGGCTCACCGCAAACAAAGTCGCCATATGACTCAAGACACATGAGCTGGTGAGGGGACATATCCTGCTGGTTTTTTGGCGATGCTCTACTCTTTCACCAGCGCGTGATAGCGATGGTTTGCCAGGGCAATAATCAAGTGATCCGCAACAACAAAGCAAGCTATGGATGTTGTGCAAGCTATTCCGTTGTGCTGCATTGCACCGGAGGAAAAAAAACAGGAATCGCCACAATCGACTCTCGATTAAAGGTTGCAAACGAAAAAGGGGCTTTCAGCACACAGTCAGTAATCACGAGTAGTCTAAGGTGTTGAATAGGAGTGTTTTTCACTGTATGCAGCGCATTTGCCATAGAGATCCCGTACGTCTTTCCCACTAGAACATCATTCGCAACCAAACTCAGCTTACACGATCAAAGACTCCAGTGTCAACTCGCCGCCATGGAGAAACCCTTCGTTCCAAGCCTGACCGGCCTAACAGAGGAGACGCGTTTCTGGTTGCGTGGTTCTGGACATTTCTGGACTGCGGCGATGAAAAAGACCAGGGCGTTCAAAACTTCCGACGCACGTCCGATGCTCAGCCTCTTCTTGGGCATGCAGCCGTTTTCCCGCACGCAGGACTCGGAATACAGCCGATTGAACGATGGCAAGCTGCGGCCCACCTTCCAGGCACGACGCTGTCTCGTTTCGAGAAAAGGACTGGACTCCGGACACCCGAGGTTCCAGAGTCAAGAGAGTGTTATTCCCCAAACAGTGTGGCAACACTAGGGGTTCTTACATTTCTTATGGGTTTCCTTCTGCTTCTACACCTGACCTTACACACTGTTTGGGGCCCCTTGCCCGGATATCTTTTTACAGTTGATGGCCCCACTAAACATAGAAACTGATGAGATCGAGCTGTGGACTGGTCCGAATGTCAATCCGCTTAAGCCAATAATGAAACACCAGTTCCGGCTTTGGACTGGTCCAGATGTACAGTATGTAGTAGAAACAAGACATGTACACAAGACCAGTTGTTGGTGAAATTGATCATTTCACAGTCGTCATAATGCCTCTTGGTGTGAATGGCTGCACTATGGATTGAAACCTTGGTAATCAGATGTAAGCAGAAGCATACGGAAATCATAGACACGAACTATGTAAACGTAGACGTAAACCATACTCTATCCATAGAACCCACGTCGGATTGTTATGTGTGAAGTGCAGTCGTGGCGTGCCAGCATCATGATGTGAATCTTCAATACAAAAACTACTGTTTGTTTGAGATGTTTTGAGGGTTTTGCGTCGGCTTGCACAAGAGCACCATATTTTTAATATAAACAACTCGTAGTATACATCATCATCAGGTCACGGTCACAGACCCAATTCCAGTGATCCAGAATCCAAGGAACAACTACGGAAGCGTCTTGGCAGGAGCTCAATGGCTGGGCTGAGGAAGATAGTAGCATGGGGGATCATGGGGGTTATCCTAATTTGATGCCGTTTTATACCGCAAGTCGCTTCATGTGTTTGACGCCCGCTCGGCCATAATGGCCGTTCCAAGACAGGACTGGTCAATTACGTCGTTGACTCAACGACCGGGAGGGGATAGCCATGATGGAAGTAGGAAAGCATGATCTTAAGGATTGTTCTCAAGGATTGCCTAATGAGGACATATTCAGACGGGATACATCTGGAGGATCAAGCCTGGCTTCGAAGGCGCCAGGCTTGATTGGTGATCCTGCAGCAGTGAAGTGTAGGGATCACTGGTTTTATACTCAGGCCTTGGCCTGCCGACACCCCTGATTGATATGGGTCTTTATTGCAGTTTGGTGATGTCATTGTCATGGAAGCAGATTGTTCAGAGATGCGAGATTTTGATGAACATGATTGCTTGACCAGACCTGCTTGCACGCATCATGAAAACCATCTCAGATTGGATTTGCCGGATGTTTTTTCGCTCGTGATGAGGTTGATGCCAATTGTGGAAACTTGGCACGATCGTAGATACTGTGCCAGCTTTTTGTTCTTTGGTTGGCTGACAAGTGGGCATTGTGCGCCATTTTCGTTCACTTCCCAAATGTCCCAAAAGGGTGAGGCAGGTGGCCCAGAGTTGACAATTGTACACCCCTGAAATGTCTTGAAAGATGAAATGCAGAATGATGTATTTTTTTGAAGTGATGAAGTCCAGCTGACTCACTTCCAGGCTTTTGCTATAGCTACCAGGTTTCTGCTCCTAGGGGTGGACTGGAGTGTGACCCAGCTTGGGGGTTTCTCAGCCAAGAGCCAGGCTCTCAGCCCAGAACCCTGTCATCGGATCTGAAGTGATCCGAGGATAGTCAGGCCCAGTTCGGCGCAAACTGGACAAACAGAAGTAGGCCCAGAAGTAGACCTCCGGGCCTCCCCTTTTCACTGCGGGTTCATCGTTTGACCGGATGCCTGGCCTTAGCCTTCAGAGAGAGAGAGAGTAACGGCCTGGCTTCTAAGTCCCCAAGGAATGGCTGCCCGCCTACCAATGCAGGGAGACGTTGCTGAAGGACGGCCCGGGTGCGATTGGTTCGACTCCCGGGGTGCCTCACGCGGACCGAGCTGCGAGCATTGCGAGCGAGCGGTCGTGTTGGGGTGTCGTGTTGGGGTGCCCGGACACCGTGCACTTGCTGTTCGAAAACGATGGTTCTTGGCGCTGGTGTCCTTTGAAGCTGTTATGGGAGCTGGAAGTGGAGCTGGAGTTTGGAAGAGGCTTTGCTATGTGTGTCCAAATTGGAAGAATCATAGTGGGCATGCTGCCCGCAGGCCTGTCACCCACTGACTCAGTTGTCCTCCTGTGCACAGTTGGGAGGACTTGGGCTCGGCGATGACTTTGGGCTGTGTGCTCTTTGCCCAGTCCTTGGCACACGCTGATCTTTGTAAGGCCCGCCGGTTGGGGAAAGACAGAGTTGTTGGATCAATCACTTCTGTTGAACCCATGGATTCTTGCAACAGCCCGGTTGACATCGGTTAACGCAAAATGGTTGGAGATCCTCACTTGTCTTCACAATCCTCCTCCAGTCTTTCTCAGGTGACGCTGATCACAGGGCCTTACAGCTGCCTGGCACCACCGCTCTTTTACGCCCTCTTTGGGACCTGCGTGCAGGCGAATGTGGGGCGAAGGTGAAGCTAAGTTGGCGAACTTGGACCGGCCGGTGGTTTATATGGTTTGTTACATCCCTGAGTGCAATTTCACCAGGAAAATCGGGGTCCCAACCCCACCAGGGTAATCTACACATTGTTGATGTTGTTATAAATCTAAAGGTTGCAGGTTTGGGGACTCCATGCTCAGATCACAGTCACAGAAGCACTGGCCCGGTCCTGTCCGGTCCTTGTCAACCACAAGGTGGCAGGAGGTTCCTACAGGGATCATCACGAATTCAATCGAATTCATATATTATATACCAAGGCACTCCAAGATGTGTCTTGAAACCTGAGAGGAGGTGCATATATGTCAATGTGGCACTTTATGTTCCTAAAGGACATGCTGTAGGCTGCGTAGGTCTTGACACACATGGTGGCTTGACACGGTCCGTTCGCACCTCATCATGCCCTGCTACCGGCACAGAGCCCCCAAAAGCACCGCAAGCATCGACAGACTCGACTCGAGGCGTCCATCGGCACGGGGGGCTTGATCTCCTTGCTCACGGGGGAGCAGCTCGCCGACTTCGGAGACCTTGAGGAACGGACCCACGCAGGCTTGGGGTCTCCGAGGTGGCGAGACGGGTGGAGCTGTGGTCGGACAGGAGTGGGAGAGAGGAGGGTGGAGCTGTGTCACATGAGGTCATATGGTTTACCAGGTGGGGTTGCTTGAGTGAGGAGGCACGAGAGGAAAATGGCAACAGGTGATGTGATGGAATGCTGTTTCATGGTGAAGCTCGCAACTGAGGCATGGTAAGAACTGCTGACTCCAAGTAGATTTTGCATGACTTTGCGGGTGAGGCAGTTTGACATGGATGCCCCACAAAATTATGCTTGTTCTGCAGTTCCTGAAGCCACTTGCATTACTTTGACAATGTCGTAAGCCCAGCAGGATAGAGCTCACACTGTTACGCTCTGCAAGTGCATGTTGAGGAAGACGATCCAAGAGTGTACATCATACAGCTAAACACTGTCCTGGCTTTCTCAAAACAGGGGAGACGCCTAAATCGGGCGTCGGATTCTTTCGAACGCACGCAGACAAGCGCTGCGGATCGGTCGCCCCAGGTGCCATTTTCACCTTGCTGGTCGGCGTGATGATCAGCCGCGTGGCTTTAAGCAGTTTCGCCCGGTGGGTCAATGATGTTCGGATGTTGTGCGATGTATAAGGCATACGGGGTCAACACTATAACGCCCCAAGGCCAGGCATCATAAGCAACAACTTGCTCTAACACCGGGATGCATCAAGTCCTAGTACACAGGGTGATCAATCTTGACCATGCACCATTCAACCGTGCTTCTTAGCAGCTGGATGACGCAAGTTCGGTCCAGTTCTTCATCATTGCAGGCTTCTAGGAATGCTAGGGCCGCTAGGGATTCTTAAGTTCCAGGCCAGGATTGAGATGTTCATATATATATATATAATTATATACAATATAGAGAGAGAGAGACTAAGCATGACCAAGCAATGCAATTCATATGTGCCTGATCAATCTCATTTCTGGGGAATCTTCGCAGACCTGTTTGGTGCTCCTTATAGGTGCCGGATGTTTTGGTCCCTGAAGCCTCCTGAGGTGCCATGGGCATTTTCCGCTTGGCCTTCTTGGTCCGCTTCCTCTCCAAGCCAGCCGCTCTGGCTGCACCAGCACAGATGACACGGCATTGCTGGAGTCATCATTTTAGACCCATGACGCTGGAACTCGCTGGTACAGTTGCGGCACCAGTTGCTACCCTTCCGTTTGGTGAAACACCCCATATCACCTCATTTCCTGTGGATCAAGATGGAGAGAGAGAGAGCTACGGTCCATCCACGCGATCCACTGATCCACTTCCATGATTGTTGGAGGGAAGGTATCTATCATTATCGAGACCTTCACCAAGAGCTTCGCATCCCAGAGCCATCCTTTTGCTGGTTTGAGTCTGGGCATCCACACGACTGTGCAAGAATTGAGGTTTGTCACATCAGTTAACTTTCATCAGCTTCATAATTAGACAGAATAGGGCATTTGTCCTGTGTAGGCCGTAGGATTTCATATTTGTTTGACTTACCAGGGTGTTTCCAAAAGCTTTGCACACCTCATCCTCAGCAGACTTGACAAGAGTCAGAGCCCTTCAGACTCCCGCATTCTGGCTTACCACTGCTGGAATGGACCAATTAAAGCACCCTGACGGAGCAGACGTTGGACGATGGTTGGTTGGTTCCAGCGCAGCCGCACAAAGATCAACAAGCAAAGACATAAGTCTACTAGGAGCAAGGATGCTACTAGGGGCTCCTGGCATCGCTACTAGTAACAAGAAGCTACTAGGGGCTCCTGGCCTTACTACAAACAGAGCAAAGGACGCTACTAGGGCTCCTGGCCTCATAACCCCCCAGTCAACAAGCAGCACCGGCGGGGACAGTCCCAAGTAGAGTGACCGTTGATTGAAGCCACCTGGGTGGCAGCCTTGTTCGCTGAAAAGCACGGGGTGTGAGGCACTGAGTGGCTTCATCTCTGCTTCGGCGATCCTGATCATGCTTTCCCAAGTCAAACCTGCCATCGGCCTACCGAGCCTTTGGCGTGGTGGTGGTCCATGTTGAGAAGGATGCAGAAGGTACGGACCAGAGACAGAGACAGATGCTCACAGCCTCAACCATGTCCAAAGTATCACGTGGTCCCAGTGACAGACTTCTTTGATTTTACGTGGGGATGGAAACTTTTTTTGGTGTGACAATTGGATCATCCACTCTGTAGTTGTTTCCATGCTTGGTAACTCATGTTCTTCAAGTCTTCAAGCCTCCTCGCCATGCGGTGGCCATTCACGTGAAAACTCTCCACATGCGGTGGATGTGAGTCTGCCCAGTTGCACCCCCCAAATGTCAGGTAGTGAAGAATTGAAGTACTGAATCTAGTATATACATAATATGATGTTGATTGATTATCTACAAATTCTCCATCAGGATCTGGTAGCCACACTTTGTGTACCATGCACACGTCCCAATTCTTGGTGACTCCTCGACCTTCCGACACCTGCGGTTTGGACCGCACACGTCCTTTGCGCCTCCCATGGGTCATGCCGCCAAGCGTCCGGGCGGGACGTGAGGAAGTCGGACGTGGGAGGCATCATGAGCATCGCCTTTTTGCATCCCAAAGAGTGACTGGACTGGGAAGTGACGGAACCACTCGTCCGTGTGATGTGGACCACTCTGGGTCCGAAAGTGCCCCGTTTGGGGTGAAAGACCTGGGCTGGGTGAACACCTTGAGACCACTGACGCATGGGCTGGGTACAAACCAAAAAGGTGAGGATGCAGCTACTTTGCCCCAGTGTATCAGTTTCCCTGTGACCGCGATGCAGATTCAGTTGGGTATATTGGATGCTATTCGTTTGAAGCCGTAGAGCTGTTTGGACCTGGCCTTGGAGCCCTCCGGAGCGGCTCTATCAGATGTCCTGCTCCTTTGTCCTGTGGTTTCGACGTCATTCAGCATGACCCATGGACCAGATGTTCCCTGAAATGAAGGCAAACAAACAAGCATACCCTTGTGACCATGAGAGCACGAGGCTGTTCTGAACAGGTTTTCATTCAGTAGATTGGTCTTCCACGGATTGAGAAATTACAGACTGCCTGGCAGCCTGGTGGGTCCTCCCAAAGATTGGAAAGACATCCGGAGTAGATGGCACAAGAAACGGTTGTCCAACCGTTTCTTGTGCCATTTGCTCGAGGACATTTGAAGTAAGCATATTTCAAATGTCCTCATCCCTTGTTTGCCCATCCATAGTCAGCTCATCCACCGCACCTGCGATTCCCGAAGGCCACACTTTAGCGCCCAGGTTGGATGACCTCAATCCCGCCACGGTGCTTTTCAGCTTCAGTTCCATGGCGAGACAAACACCGCCCAAAAGCGAAGGAAGAGCGGCTGGGAAAGGAAAGTTTCCAGGTGAAGTTTTTATTTGTTGTAAGTAGTCATTACATACATGTGTATACTAAGCAATCGTTTCAGATCATTTCATGCAAGTGTTTTTCATCTAGTATTTTACTGGTCCTTGGTGAACCCTTTGGTGAACTAGACCAGAGATGTTTACAAAACTCCTTGGTTTCGTGGGTCGCGCACCGGCAGAATCGACAGCGCATGGATGGCCGTTCTCCCCGGTCCGTGTGTCCGGGACGAGTCGACGAGTCGGTGGACGAAGGCGATCGTCGGTGGACGAACGCGAGGATCGACGTGTGTGGATGGAAGAGGATCGATGTGTTTTTTCCATCATTTTGTGTTTGTTTTTCTTGCCACTCTGTGTGTGTTTCTGACGCTCCCTGAAATCATAAGTTACTGTATGTGGATGGCATGGCTAAAGAGAAAGGACGAGCACTTTTTCTCTCTACAAACCGGTGGTGCCATCCACTTCCTCGTCGTTTTCTTCGAATCTTTTACATCCAGAAACTCAGTTGCTCTCCGGCTTCCCACCCAAAACAGCGGGAAACGAGGAGAGGGGAGACATGAGACCTTGATTCCGCACGAGCGGGAAACGACTGGTGCACGTTCTTCAGATGTTCCGGCCCAGGTTGCTTGATTTTCCTTCAACTTTTTAAGCGGCTGAAGGCGTCCCGCAGCTTGGACCCTGCAACGTCAGCAGTTAGACTCACTCCCAGGGTTGCGGTGCGGTCCATGCTCAGTGAGGCCGGCTTACGGCCGCCGTAGGCCATGGAACCTCTCCATTGATCATTGAACCATTGAGTCTCCAACGATATGGACCAAGATTGGGACTGGCTACACTCAGACTCCCTGAAATCATGGGAGTGGAACATGGCAACATGGCCCCTTGGATGGCGGTTTTCCTGTACAAACAAGTGGTTGTCCACTTCCGGGGGGCATTGTGTTCTTCATTGATTGGGACTGGCTTGCGTTGGTCATGGAGGGTGCAGATGTTTGAAGTGTGGAATGTATTTGCAACTCATTGAGGTTCATATACGAGACGGGTTCCTCCAAGTTCTAAGTGACTAGTGGTATTAGTGTTTCGTCTCCCGCATGGGGACTCATTTGTTCCATGTGCCCTGAACAGCTCATTAGCACCCAAGTCATCGGATTGGTGGAAGTCAGATAGATAAAGACACGGTGCAGCCTTGACCCCAAGGATAGGTAGGTGTTGATGATGACTGTACCAGATGTGTGCTATAGGACCGCTTGGGCTTTGGAAAGGTGGATGGAAACGCTCGAAATTATCTCAGATTCTCAAATAAACGGAGCTGAAGCCAGTCCGTCCAGGACAAGGAACATGCTTTTGTCATGAGAATCTACTTGAGATTGATGAGCATTCCCCAAATCGCTCGGGTCTGCATTGTGATGATTCAGCAACCTGACTCCATGCCAACCGTGTTTGCATTGCTTCCGAAGCCTTGCTAAATGCATGTGCTGTCTTGACAACTGAGCAAAGCAGCCAAGGCAGTCGTGTGGTGAAGCTCATGTCGGAGTTTAAAGAAGTCTCCCGCTGGCACGGTCTCGCCATTCAAGGGAAGGACCGCCTTTAGAAGGAAAAGGCGACAGATGACATCAAATGACCTGAGGTCAAGGTGACCTTTCTTTGCCTGTTCTTGTTGTTAAGGCTGTTAGAATTGTTGCTGGAGATGAAAAAGGAGTCAAGCCGGGAATGAGTACCACTGGCGCAAGGGCAAGGCTAGAAGGCTTTACCTTACAGAGACAGAGCTGGAAAGACCATGAAATCCTTGACAAACAGGCTTGCCAGTGTCCACTTCCATGTTTGTTGGAGGGCGGGTGCCGTTTCTTTTTCTCAGCGTCATCCTCACATCGACCGGTCACATGGGACCATGCTGCATCATGGGACCCGTGAGGTGATTCTGCTCCTGGTTTCTTCGTTGGTGTCCTGGCAGTTCCTTGGGATAAGAATTGTGGAAACTGGCGGGGGAAAGGGCCACGTGCTGATGGGATCGCTTCACTCCCTGGTTTCTGAGGTGGTTCATGTGGGTTCTTGATTAGTGTTCCCTGACTTTCTCGATTTCTGGTTTATATCATGTTCCTTGTGGTGTTTTGTTTCTTTTGTTGTGGTTGCTTGCTTGTTTTGTCTTCTGGGATCTTTATGGCTGCTTGCTGGAGAGTAGCTGGCCACAATCAAATCCTGCTACTTTGAAGGCGCTCCCATGTCATGTCTAAATGCTAAGTTCCTTTGCTACAGCAGGGTTCTAAGCACATGTTGGATGTGGCTCAATAGATCAGAAGTGATCAGACCTACACACTCACTCGCAGCTTCTAGTCATATTTCACTTCAGCATATTTGGGACGACCGGCATTCCCGATATTTGACCCATCGTTGACCACATGTTGCACTTCCGCACTCAGCCACACGCCACACTTCGGTCCATACCCTCGTTCTCCCGTCGGTGTCGGCCCAGGTTCTCGGAGGAGTACCAGATCGCCGTGATCGGCCACGTGCCTGCCGGCATGCCCACAGTGCAGTGGCCCTTGCGGACCAGTCACTTGCTTGGGCGTTGCTTTTAGACCCCCATGGGAGGAGGAAAGCGTGCAGAGTGCAGAGACCGCTTAGCGAGACCACTTTTTCAATCTTGTTCATATTGTATAGATGTTGTAGACCGATGTGGACTGTGAGATTTGTGGAGGTCTTCGGTCTTGCTCTATATTGCTATGTCGGGGTCTAGTTAGTTTGTTTTTGTGGGGTTGAGGGTTGAGAGTCTATATACTTTTGCTCGCCGGCCCTGAGGGAGGGTTATGTTCGCCGGACCCAGGCTAACTCCTTGCGAATCTTGAAAATAGTGAAAATGAAAATTAAAATAACGCACAAAACAGCGACTACAAAAAGCAAGAGCAAAAAAGACAGCAAATCCAAAAAGCAAAAAACAATCAAATAAAAACGCAAAAGCAAAAACAAGGCAAGTCCAAACAGCAAAAAAGATCAAAAAAGCGAATGAAAAAGCAAAAACCAAAAACAACACAATTAATAGCAAAAAAAATATATGAAAAAGCAAAAGCACAAAAATGCAAATCCACAAAGCAAAAGCAATTTTCCGATGTGTTTTTGCTGTTTTGTTTGTTTCTTTTTACTGTTTTTTGTGTTCGCAATTTTTGATTGCCAGCATTTTTCTGTTTTGTTGTATGTTTTGTTTTTTTTTTGATTTGGTTTTGTTTGTTTTGCCTTTTTGTGTGTTTTTTGTTATTCCGTTTTGTTTGTTTTTTTGTTCGTTTGTTTTTCAGCTTTTTGTTTTTTTGTTTTTCATTTGCGTGTTGTTGTTGTTTTTTTTTTGTGTGTGTGTGTCGCTTGTGTTTTTTGCGTTGTGCTTTTTAATGTGTTTTTTTTGCTGTTTGGATTTGTGTTTTATTGCTTTTGCTTTTTTATTTTGTATGTTTTGCTTTCTGAATTCACGTTTTTGTTGCTTTTGTTTTTTTGTAGCTGTTTTTTCTTTTTGTTTGCTTTTTTATTCGTATTTGGCAAAGCCATCAGAGATAGCCTAAGTGGTTTACTTAAAGGGAGGGTCAAGCTGAGAGAGGAAGCATAACAGGGTTCCTCACCGGCCTTTGTTTGGATCCCATGTTTACAGTCGGGGGAACAGTTCATGAACATGGCCATGGCATGGCAGTGTCAAAAAGAACAGTGATGACTTCATTGATGAAGTTCTTTGGACTGCAATACATCTAAATCTATGACTCACTCGGGGAGAGAAACCATGCGGTGACCGGTGCTGTAGAGAAAATCACTCTCGCCTTCCTAGAGGAACGAGCCGTCGTCCGGAACCAGTGGCCACCGGGCCCGTTTGCATGTGAAGCGGAAGGACCTTCGTGTGGTGTCAGGCAAGAGGTTAGTGTAGAGTCATGCAGAGTCTGTGACATGTTGGATTCTTGGAGTAGTACCACCTGGTCATCTCCCCTTCATTGGTGCAGGTGATGACTGGGTGCTTGCTCAGCAACTATTGCCAGGTGCAGTTGTTTATGTTGTTTGTGCCTGGTGGGTGCTGGGCATCAACGACCTAGACTTGTACTTTAATTTTTGCTGCTAGGCTTTATCGGGAGTCGGCAGGTTTTCGTTCTTGCACTCTCCACGGGACATGGGTGAACTCCCAACTGCTTGTGAGGCAATGGAGAGCTACCCGGTAAAGCAGTAGTCTAGTAACTAGTACTCGTAATAGTTTTCTTCCACAGTCCATCAGGTTCCTGTGCCTGAACCAGGTTCAGTCGTCAGCATGTTTTGTACAAGCATTTCCCAGCAGTCCAACTGTTCAACATATCCAACAATTACAAGTTATGTACAAACAACCAATCCCCTCCAAAGGTGTCCCACCGAGTGATCGTAGTTGGGCGTCTTTGCCAGGCAGGGACACAAATCCCAGGAGAGAAAGAGAGAGAGAGAGAGAGGTTGTTTGGGCCTTCAGGTGGCCGACACTTCTCCTGAGTGTCCAAGTGGTGGTGATCATAGACCAGAGTCAGGACATGTTCATCCCCCCACCTGCCACAAACCTGCCTTTTTTTCAGGTGCGGCGATGGTGGCATTGGTGACCTTTCTGTCCTCCTTCGCGGCCGCGCGGAAGTTCTCCTTAAAGGCGGGTGGACGGGTGGAGTTGATGAAACGGCGGGCGAAGGGAGTTGAAGCCGAGGCGGGCATCCTCCAGACAATGCTCTGAAAAGTTGTGCGATGATCGTTTTTTGGAAGGATGTGTTTTTGGAACTTGCTCGGGGCGCCAAAACCCTCCGCTACCTTGAAATGTCCAACAAGTCAACAAGCACATGGCTTTCCATCAGCTCGACCGAGTCTAATACAATAAAGATATTGTGACTCTCCACAGGTGTGTGGTGCTTTTCTTCTTCAGCTGCGAAGTCCAGACAGAACTCGTTCAGGGCATCCTATGATCCACGGACTGCAGACCTGAGGTGGTCGAGTATGTTTTTGCTCGAGTGCTCCCCAAGAACACCAAACCATACTTGTACCAAGCCCCTCTGTACAGAATTGATCCGTTCAAGCAGAGTTTAGCGTGCTGCCTGACCTTTTGCACGGAGGACGAAGAATGATGAAGATCGTAGGAAGAAGGTCAGTCCTTTGGAATTAGAAGTGCTATGAAGTGCTGAATCGGTTTGCACATGCCATGGTCAGGTGCGCACTGTGATGAAGCTGCCTGGTACCTCGTAGCCGTTGATCTTTTTCGATGTTGGGGTCATGGAGATTGAAATTATGATGACATCTATGACATCATATCATATACTGTGTCCCGCATCAGTTCAACAGGTTCAAATTCTTTATTAGTCATCAATTGCGATGCAAACCCAACAACATGTAGCATTTCTTTTTGACGCGGCTCTCAATTTCACTGCCTTGCAACATCGGTGCAGAAGTGAACTTCCTTCGCACCCTCTCCACGGACCTTCGCAGAATTTGCGGCATCATTTGCTTTCCTGATTCCCTCTGGAGATGTTCCGAGAAAGTAAAAACCCGCAATTCCAACAAACAAACGAGGAACCCTTCTTGTTGAAGGTTCAAAGGCACTGATGCTCCCTGCCAGGCAGGGTACCAAGTGGTGGCCACCAATGAGCTTTTGGGCTTGGGTGCTGCAAACGTGGCAGGTGCCTTTTGTGGCGCTGTGCCCACGCGCCCTGGATGGAATCTTAAGAGGGACATGGTCAAGGAAGTGGTGAAGATCAGGGATCGTGGTTTCAGGATTGGTTCACGGGTGAAACAAACTTGGCCTTCGGGCCCTGAATGTGGTGCATGGGAACATCTACAACTTACAACCTACACTCCGAGTCACTAGCATGGAAGTGGATGGCGCCACCTGATGTTGTATTCGGAAAATGGTCCTGCACTGGGCCAGGGACTTTCACTTCTGTTTCAGGGAGTGTCATGACTCTGGTGCCGCTGTTTGGAGGCAGTTTCAGCCGGCTGCCATGCCTGTGTTCATGAACCTTTGTAATTATGTATTAAATTATTGTTGGATTTGTTGGTTTTTGATTACGTTGAGAAGACTTTCCAACGTCTAGTCTAGGGCCCAGAGTCCTAGAGACCTGAGACAGGTAGCGGGACCGAGCTACCCGTTCGAGCTGAGAAAACCGAACCCAAGGCAGGCGGGCCTCAGCCGGATGGGTGCCTCAACTGCAGCGGGAGTGACACCCAGACCGGTTCAGACAGCTTTTCTTGCTATGGAGGAGTATGCGGAGTGCTAGATCATTCTAGTTGATTCGTTTGCGATTCAGGACAGACTGTTTGAAACAAGGGACGAAGGAAGTGGACCATGTACTGTATAGGCCCCTGGAAGACAATGTTCCTCTACAAACAGAGGGTTTTCTACTATGTGATATAGACGATATATCTATATCTCTATATATATATATTATAGCAATTACAGCAAGTGGTTCATATGGACCCCCCGTCCAGAATGCTCCAAGTCGGTGACTACTCTCTTGCATGCAGAAGCCAGGTTATACATGCAATTCATTTTCCGTCTTGACAGGCATGACAGGTGCTCAGACACTACAACGCACTCCAGCAACTGCATAGCTATTCCGTGACGTTTCTTGCGCAAACCGCCCAGTTGATGGAAGGTGGTTCTCATGCAGCACTCGGAGCGCTGAGGATGCCCAACTGCTTCAAAATCAGCATTCCCAACATTTCCCCTGTGACCAAAGCCGGGATTTCATCCTGTCACCCACTGATTGGGCTGGGTAATGATGAAGCACCTGAACCCCCGACTTGCTGTAGCGGTACCTGGTTCCATCACATTGGGCGTGTGAGCCCCGGCCTGCTGAATTCGCAGGATTTGCCAGTCCATTTCTTGTTTAACGATTTCTACATTGGCATTGCAGAGTGTGGAGGAGAACATGCATCGTTGTCACAACCCCAATTTGTTGGTGAGATGACAGGATGTGTTGAAGAAGTAGGAGGTCCAGCTAATTTAACTTCAGATGGGGAGTATATACTCACCATAGTACTCACCATGACAGACTGTAACCTGGGAGGATTTCTTGCATCACTACGGCTCACCAACTTACTTGCTGAAGATCTTCCTTTCCAGCCCTCCAGGGTCCTCCAAAGTCCGCCGACTTGTGGTGTCCGTCCCAGGAATTGCAGCCTCCATGGGCGTGAAGAACATGCTAGGAGCGATGCTTTGTGAAGAAATTCGTGAGCTAAGACATCGTAGAGACATGCTTTGTGTTGTTGAATGTTGGTTTGGCTTGCAAGCATGTCTCACGATAGGCGCTTTCATTTGAAGGTGCTGCTGGTGCTGAGGACTTGGGAATTTCACGGGCTTTCTACCCATGAAACTTTCATATATAGTTATACGTCCACAGTACACATGTCCTTTATGCCATCTCAGGTTACCTACTGTAAGACATCCATCAGCAGCCTTGCCAGAATTTGCACACATACCGAGTGAAGTTGAGGTTAAAAGGTTTCCTTAACATCAAACACCATCAAACCATCAAATAAGTGGCAAGAAGGCTCATAGCAGCAACAAAAAAGGTCCCGAGATCTGGTACGGTTCCGCACTTGGCACTCACATTTGTGCTCAGTGTAACTCTCCCTTTGGATCTCGGCAGGGTGTTTTCTGCTTCCGCGTGCCATTGCCGCAAACGAAGAGCCGAGCGTACTTCCACGTGACTGCATGCTTCCGTGTGCAAGCTTCCGCGTGCAAGTACGCGTGTCAGGCGGGAATGTGTTCACTGCTGGAATGGTGGGACTCATTCTGCTGCTCTTGAGCCCCTACCTGTTCTTCGTGCCCAGGTGCGACCCGCCGGCGCTGGTGAAACGAAGCGCGAGCTGGGTGAAATGACATCAAGACTGGACTGACACCCATGCCTAAGATTGTAGAGATGTTGGTTGCGACTTCAGATGGTTCCTTCTCCATTTGTCTATGCAGCTTTGATACCACCTTGAACATCTAGAAGCTGAAGCTGAGGTTACATTTATTTATATAATGGCGTCGAGTCCCGAAAGGGCACGGACTTAGGAAAGGTTTTGCGCTCGCTTGAAGACGAGCAAAGCAGGACAAGCCGGCGTGACACCAGGGATACCAAGTGGATTCAAAAACATTACATTTGTTGGATGTGTTCTTTAATGCGTCCAAGCGACTTTTCATGGCCTGTGGGGCCAGTGACATTTTCTCAAGGAAGTAGACATTAGCAGGGGCCGCGGGACTGCTATATCCTATAATCATCTATAATCCTATACCAACAGATGAAGTGTCAAGAATCATCCTTTTGTGGTGCTTAAACTCACCGTTTTTGGCCCAATCGGGTGTATTGCTCAAAGTCTGGAAGCCTGTACGGGTTGCTTTCCGCCAGTGCGAACATCCATCCTTTGCCTGGGCATGTTTGTATCCTGTATATGTTTTTGTTGCTTCAGGTTGTTGGAAGGCAATGACTCAAGGAACAAGTGTGTTCTGTGTGTGTGTGTTCTTAAAGTGTGACTAACATGATGACGTGCTTGTGTTTTTGGATTACCCGTGAGCACCCCATTTACTTTATAAAAGTGTTTATATGAAGATGTTTAAGACCTTGGACGGCTGGCCCGTTTTGTGTTTCCACCAGGTGTGCACTAAATGTGATCATCATTATTGGAGCTTCCACTTTGACCGAGACTTTGTCTTGCAGCAGGGATATGGCACTACCATGCAGGGAAATATCCAGGTGTGCAACTGAGTCTCTCAACATAGGGAGGCCCAATCATACCAAATATCTAAATGGGGAAAAAACACCATGAACGTTTTGGAGGGTCCCTCATCAGACAGCCCAGAGGAGGAAAGTCGTTTCTAGCCACGGACGGTGCCGTGTGATTCACCCGCACACGATGCCATTCGATTCGCTGGGCTCGGTCACAGTCCACCTGTCAGACAATGGGTATGGAGTGATGAAGATGGTGTGGTGTGCGGATGCTGTGTGGTTAGCATTTGATTAGCATACTCCCTTCATTGACCTTCCGGGGAGTGATGGACCAGTCATCCAGGTCAGTTTTGTTTCTTTCTGGGCGACATGGAGAGGAGAGGTTCCCGCCCTTTTGTCATATGTGGTCCAAACTCCGGGATTGTCAAGGATGGAACAGCTGAGGGAAATGCTGAACGTCGAACCTAGCCGCTGAACAAAGCACTCACTTTTTCGCAGAGAATGGCGGCGGGGCTCCTTTTCTTTCAGCTCTCCGAGCGATCCTGCTGTGGGCGACGAGAAAACACATTGAAAGCATGCATGACACAAGGAATCCTCGACGGCCCCCAACAAACTCAACTTCAGAGGTTACCTGTTACATCATTATCAATATATGCATGGACATTGGACCCCTTGGTCATGACTTGGAGAACAGTCAACCATCCCCCCGAACTTCGGAAGCAGGTCCTTCGACCCGCTCTGTTCTTTTGACCGCCCCTTCACCCGCTCTCAGCACATCTGCACGTCTCAGGAGTTCTCCCACGTCTGGTGGCTTTGGTCCCTACGCTCCACGCGCACGCGCCAGCGCACCTACGTCACCGACTTCTTGGCGCCTTGGACGGGCGCGACGCGACCGGCGGCGCGAGGTTGGAGACGAGGTGGCCGTTTGCTTTTTGTTTTAATCATTTTTAATCGATGTTTATTTTTAGAGGTCGGGGTGAAATGTAGGCTCTAATAACATGTTTGGGGTTCTTTGGGAGGCAAGTCTTTTCTTCTTGCAGGAGTTTCTCCAAACTTTGGGGAGGAGGTGCTTGAATCTTGAACCCAGCTTTGGATGACTTTGGATGTGTTGTGTTGTACTTTCAGTCTTCAGAGCTGGTCAATGCCAACTGTTGTTCGCTGATATTTAGTGGTAATTGGTAATGGTCAACTGTAGAGTTGACACAGGAGACATGGAGAGTTGAGGTCCCAAGCATGCAATTTCAGTCCTCACGGAGGATGTTTGTGTCATTCAGAACCCCATTGGGTTCACAAGGGGTTCACTGATATGTTTATGTTCAAGACTCACTAAGTAATATACATAGAAATAGAGAGGAGATGAGAGGAGAAGGGAGAGAAGGTTAGATGCCATGCATGAAACGTTTGTTGTCTCAGCCCACACGCCTTGATCGCTTTTTAGGTTTGGTGGGTGGCCTTTCTTTTCACCCTGTTCTTGGGGGCCTTAAAAGGCCAGACCTCGCGGCGTTTCGTTGACTTCGACCGCGTGATCGGGCCGGTTGATTGGCCTTGAAGTGTGACTGGTGCGACTTGTAGGGAGTAAGCAAATGACCTCATGACCCCCAGGAACACAAACGCTGCGAACGCCTTGGGATCATTTCCCTCATTCCTTAGTAAACACCCGCCAGGAGTGTGAACGAGTGTTTGCTGTATCGCAGCTTGAGCAAAAAGGAGTGGATGCTTTGATTTGCCTTTCATCATTGTTCATTCACCGATCATTAGCAAATACACCGTCCCACACGTGTGTTAGCTCACATGACCGGCTTCAATCCGCCTTGGTCATCTCAGAAAATCGAGGGATGACAACTCCGGCATTTGGTGGTTGACTTCAGGGTTTAATTTATATAATATATGATAATATATAAGGAATGTTCAAAAAACTTGGTGTTTTCAAGACTTGTGGTGTTTTGAGCTCGGGTCAGGGTAAATGCTGCGATTTCTTTTCTCAGCAAAGTGAGCGAGGAAGTTGAGGTCGATCCAAGATTCCAAAAATCAGCCGGGCAAAATCAGTTGGAAACAAAACCTAGTGCCTCCGCCTTCTTTAGCGAATACACTGGGGATACTCCAGCCTTGAAATACTTAAAGTAAGGCTGACCTTCATTAACCGTGCCCGGTTTGCGGATGAATTTTTGGACCACCCATCCATTTGCATGCTTTTCCTCCGATTCAAAATTTGTGGACGGGTTTGCTTTCTGTACTGCTTTCTGTACAGCCGGCTTTTTAAAGGTTTTGTTCCCCGATGCCTCCGTTTCAGCATCATCATCATCCACTGGGGAATCTTTCTTCTCGCCCTTCAAAATCAAAGGCGACTGAAAAACTTCCCTCTCATTCTCACTCCGCACCCGTGCTGCTGCCATGATTCCCTCCATCATAGAAGCAGGCCTCTTCATTCGAAGAAGTGGCAGCGTACGTGCCTTCGTTGAACTCTTACGCTTAGGCCCCTGCGCACCGCTTTCCTCCTCATGTGGTGCGTCACTCTTGTCATGCTTATTGTCCGTCTTTTTCTCCTCCGCCACCCTCTTGTTTGCTGCTGCTGGTCGCTTCATTTTGTGCACAATCGTACTACCTTGGGCATGATCCCCAGTCAAAGCTGTAAAATTTCATAATAATACATGACAATCTTTGGTACTGAATACTCTAATCAGAACCAACTCTAGATGCATTCACACCAGACCAGCAACTAGAGCCAATGAGTTCAACATTGCAGAATAGCTACCGTTTTTAGTAAGTTGTTTTTCTGTTTGCTAAGCTTGCTGTCGAGAAGCCCTCATGACCTGCATGCCCTTCTGACTTTACAGCCTGCTGACGACCTCGCCCACGGCCACGCCCGCGAGCTTGCCCACCACGACCACGCCCGCGATCTTGCCCACGACCCCTTGCGCGACCCCTTCCTTCTGGCAGAGCTTCTGGAGATGGAGACTGCTCAAGACCGCTCGGGTTGCCAGGTGAAGCGGAAGGTGTGCCTTGAGGTGAAGTAGCCGTAGCCAATGTTGTCTTCGGACTCACTCCTGTGGCAGGTTGCATCTGAGAACTTCGCAAAATATGACCTTGGATGTCAAAGACACCTGAAGCCATGAATGACATTGCAACAAATTGCCGGGCTAAATAACCTCGAACCGATCAGCTTTGGGCAAGCTCAAAATTTGCAATTGACATCCCTTTGCAACTTCTAAATTGAGATGACACATACATTGCTACTATCAAATTGAGATGTTCTAAATACTAACAAAACCTTCATCTAGTTCCGCATCTGGCACCAGCAATAAATTGACATGTTTCTTTCGAGCTGGTGTCTTCCATGTGCCATGCCTCACTCACAGCTTCACCCCTCTAAATGCAAACAGATTGCTGCACACTGGTTCCTTTTCAAATCCCATATGCAAAATTCCTGCTGCCATCTACAGCAAAGGATGAATTGCCATTTTAATCTTGACCAAAACGAGCTCGGCTTGTCCGAGCAAATTGTGCACATATGGCAGGCCTGTATTGCACTCAGCTTTGAGATGGTTCATCTCATCTTGAGCTTTACTCAACATGAGGCGAAAATGTTCTGGATCTGCTACGATGACGCTCTGTAGATGTGCCCATGTTTCTGGGGGACCCACAATGTCATGTGCATCGGCAATCCACGTCGACAACTGGGAGATGCGGTCATCGCCATCCATGGCAGCCTTGAAGGTCATGTTGCTGAGGACTGTCAACAAAAGGATCATCTCCATGATGACAGCCATGTCATTCTGGTCCTGAGCAATCACCGGCAAGCTCCGAAAGCGCATCAAAAACTCTCGGACGCATTCATGGCCAAAGGAGGACTTCTCGTACATCCCTGACATGCCATGCAGGAAATGCAAGCCCTGCCACATCACCAGCACATCCGTGTACATCAAAGGCATTGGTCGCAACAATTGGATGGGCGACAAGCTACACCCGGTTCTACCTGAGCCACGTTGCTAGAATGATGATGGAACATCTATCTCTAAGTTGCTTCACAGCCAGATGCTTCACACTATGATGATGATGGAGCTTGACAGCCACTCTGCCCGCCGACTAAAATCTGTTGGAAAGCTGCTGCTATGGCGCGGCAAGAATGCTGCATTGTTTCCACTGCTTCACTAGCCGGCAAATCAAAATAGCACAGTCCGTTCTATGTTGTTGCTAGCCTTGCTTCTCACACCCCGCGAAGTTTCTCAAAAGATTCCAATCTACAAAGTTCAATGTGAATATCATAACATGTCATAACGAATCCAAATGGAAACAATGAACAATAAGGTTGATAATTTGATAATAACAATTAATTGAAATTGACATCTCTTTGGAGAAGAGCTTGCAACGAACAGGTGGATATGCTCCACGGCCCGTGTGCTGGCACTCCGTTCCAGCGGGTCAGCCAAAACACCAGTTGTTCAAAATAAAAGCAGAATCAACAAAGCAATTAATCAAGAAAACATCCGCAGGGTAAACAGGTCTCGGGGGGTTGGTTTCACACAGTGTTGATTAGATCCACCCAAAACTGAAGAGGTCAAACCCTAAACCAACTAGTTGATTTTCATAGGCTTCCCCGCTTTCAACTGCAGCGAACACTTGGTAACTATATGGGGCTTTTGCAGCTTCAGCGTGGCCCCAATTCGCTCAAACCGAAATCGGAAGACTGGAATCAACTGCTGGAACTCGCTAGCCTTCCCAATGACTTTACAGAAAAAGTTCTTGCCACTCAGCTTGTCAGGGGTCACGCACTTGAAGCGCATATGGTTTTTGTAGGAGACTTCGAATCCGTCCATGCCGCTCTCAAGGTTGGCATCATCCTTCCTCTTGACGTTCAGGTAGGAGATCTTGTGGTCGGTGATGTTCTTCTCATTTTCACACATCAGCAAGAGTTTGAATAGGGAAATCACCGAGGTTCCAGAGCCATCCTGCTTCCATGAAGTTTCGTCCAACTGAATCAATGTCTTGTCACCCTGGGGCAGCTTGAACTCAAGCCCTTCTTCACCTTCAGCAGGCACGTATTGGCCAGTCCCGAAGCCGCCGATCTGGACATGCTTGCCTATCATCTTGTCGGCGGATGACGAATAAAGCCACAAAGATTTGTCTTTCCCAAGGATCAAGTCCACACCGCTGATTTCAGAAGCGACCTTCAATTCCAGGCCTGGTGATTCTTCGAGCTTTGCCAAGGACTCTTTCTCCTCATTCTCTGATGTAGATGGCAGGGGCTCAGGTTGTTCCTGCTCTTCCGAAGCCTCCACGACTTGCCTGGTAGCTGCATCAGCTCCAGCAGATCCTATCAATGCAAGGTGCTTTTCTCGGAGGCTTTGATAATCCTCTGTGATGCTTCCTCCCTGGGTTGTCCAGAAACGGTGTTCGTCCGACTTGATCACCATTTTGCCTCCAACTCGTTCGAGGACCTCGAACTGCAAGGTATCGAGGCTGCTCATGGCGGCTGCACCTCCTGGAACTGATGAGATTTCATCCTGAGTGAGATCTGGTGCATTGAGGTTGATGCGTTGGCCTGCGAACTCCAGCTTCCCTGATAGCCATGAGTCGACCACCTCCCGAGTGAGTCTCGCTGCTCCAAACTGGTCCTTGTTGAGCCACCAAATGCTTTGGTAAAAGAGCTGCTCCGTGTTGAATCCACCCTTGAGCTCCTCATGCAATTCCCGAAGTTGAAAAGCCTCAACATGCAGTGAAACAAATTGGGGGGCCAACACCTCCCGCATACAAAATACAAACAAATGAAATTGTTATTACCCAATTGTTGATCACCATGGAGTGCCTTTTACTTAATTTAGGGACCCAGACCTTGAATGTTCCCAACCCTTCTCGCTGCTTGCTTTTGTCCCATTTCCTGCTGTTGTCTTTTGCTGCCGAATTATGATGAGTTGATAAACTCAAACATTAAATGAACCAACTTCTTTAATCGCTGTCAACTGAATTAGCCTGCAATACGCTTCGCTTGTGAAGCATTGGCGGCAACAACATACAAAAAAAAAGGTGGAGGATTTCTAGGTTTTCCATTCTTATATCGCATGCCTTCACCCCCGGCTAAGATGTTGCGGCACTGTACTGGGGCCTTCTCTTTGAAGTAATCAATGAGACAGGCTTCCAATGTTTCTATTTGCGCCAGTGAATGACTGGCATGAATGCAACGCATCTCACGAAAGTTTCCCTCGAAGTAGTATTGGGCTCGAAGTTCCAAAGATTGTGTGATGCCAATCTTGAAGACAGCTAGTTGTTCTCCTCCATATTTGAGACGAACTTGATGGATTTGCTCCTGTGTGTTGGTGTTTTTGGGTGGTGATGGGATGCGATGTGGAAATTGAAAGTTGGTAGCTTTTATTAAACTTACTTGAACTTGATGCTTTGTTTGTTTCCTGGCCTTGCAGTGCAGCAAAATTTTTCCAGCGGTCGTTGATGGTGGTTTCACATGAACTGAAAAGCCCAAAGTGGCTGACAGCGA